TTTTTTGTTGAAATGTTAATAAATGGGAGCTTCCTCAAACAGCCATCTCTTTCCCGACAATCCCCTCTGTGCACGAACCCTTACATATGGTAATTAAACATTAAAACACCTGCGGCTTATAGTCCAGTGCGGCTTATATATGTACACATCATTACATTTAGCTGCTGCGGCTTATATTCAGGTGCGCCTTATAGTCCGAAAATTACGGTAATAAAAAATCAGCTGGAAAGGGAAGGTGCCATAACAAATATGTGTACTATGAATACTTTTTTGTTGGTTTAAAATCAGAGGAGGAAAGCTTTATCAAGGAGAAAAATGGATGAGTGTCAAGGAGAAGTGTCCTATAGAGGTGTTGAATTTTCTGATGTACCAAACTAGAAATAATAAATGTTCATTTAAAAAGTCTGAACCGTTGTATGTTTTATTTGTGTTTAAGTAGTGTTTCCAGGTAGATCTGGTTAGGTCAGAGCTATAGAATATGAATTCATCCATATTTGATAACTACATCTTAGCCCTTTTTATCCTCAGGTGTTCATAAACTAAAGTTCAATAACACTATAATTAAAATACTGAAATGTGAAACTATCGGTTGTCTCGTAATTATTGGCAAAGAGGAGAAGTACAAATATTCATCCCCTTTGTCTTCTTAATTGTACTGTTTATAGAGTGCCACAGTGACGCGTCCTCAAACCCGGAAGTAAGTTAGCATTTTTACCCCTTCCGGTTCCTTCCACAAAAAGTAATGCAATTTCTCCATAGGATTTTGGAAAATAGCTCGAAATAAGGTCTGTGTTTGACACAAATTGAAGAGACGGATCACTTTTTATTCTACGACATTAAATACATCAGCAGTGACCCCACTGGTGATTCTTGAAGAGTTTACGTGTCTGAAAAACGATGGTTGTTACCAAGTGGCTGAATAGGACTACAGAAGTTGTCGAGGCCGTTTTACGTCTTTACACCGAACACGTAAACACTCCCGCTAAGTTTGTTTGACCTGTTCTGCTTGAAAGCAAGTACCTGCCTCCTGCAAACTGTTAAAACAAACGCTTCAACTTGTACAATTTTGAATCTGTAGTTTTGAATATGGATCTTAAGTTGGCGTGACGTTGAAGCAGCGACCCTGCTGTACTTCATTTATAGCATTATAGCATAACGTTAGCATTTTGCTGCTGGCGATTAGATTTATGATTCGAAAATGATAAAAGTAGGGTAGACATGTGGAGATTATCCGGCTGAACATAACGTGATCCATCTCTTAAATATGTCTCAACCACAGACCTTATTTCGAGCTATTTTCCAAAAAATCCTATGGAGAAATTGTATTGCTTTTTTGTCTAAGGAACCGGAAGGAGTTTACTTCCGGGTTTTAGGACGCGTCACTGTGGCACTCTATAGTCTCAAACTAGCATAGTTTAAAATGGAGTGATTACTGTACCTGTTGCGAGCACGAGATCAGGCTTGATCACTTCAATTGTTTCAGTGCAGAACTTTTCAAAGTCAGGAACGCGTCTTGGGTCGTGAAATCTGCTTATGTGAATGTCGGAAACCTTGAACCAGACAAAAAACATGACAATATAATGAGAATCTGTGTGTTATTTCATATTAAGCTGAAACTGAATCTTTTGCTTTGTGACCATAGACTGTATATATAAAGTTTGTGACTGACAAAACAAGAAATTCAAAGACAACACCTTGGACTTAACTAACAGGGATGGACATTCTTAAAGTCTATTTCATTTTCAGAAATGTTAAAGAAAAAATAAGGATTGATCAATTAATTTAAAAAAAATACGCTGCAGATTTACCAATTATATAAATATGTAGACTAGTTGTTGTAGCCCTTCTACTAATTGACAGACAAATTCACAAATGGGCCACTTTACATAATGAACACATTGAAAATGTACCTTAAGGACCACTAACACTAATTGTCATTTTAGTTATTAAAGATATTGAATGTAGGACTGTTACTTGGATATTTTGTTACCCCTGTATGATTGCTATTTTTAACTCAAGTAAAACACAAAAGGTGACATTTGACTACAACTTACTGTGTTGCTGAAGCACATTTTCAACCTGACAAAGACACACTTCTGTGGTCACTGACCTCTTTCTGTCAATCATTCAGAGAGGGTTCAGAGTGTGACCTACCACAGCTAGCTTCCAATGACAACACTGCTGAGCCAAAGGAAGCCAGGTGTTAAACAAGTAAGACTATAATATTAAAAACCCGGAGATATAGTTGAATTTTAAGGGGATTTAACTCCATTTATGGTAAATGACCAACAGAGGTTGAAGAAGTTCTCAGATCATGTACTTCACTAAAAGTAGAAGTACCAGTTACAAGTTAATGTCCTGTATTCAAAATGTTACTCAAGTAAAACTAAAGGTATGCAGATTGGCCCAGTTCAAAAATACATATCAAAGGTTTGGAAATTATTGAAGCATTAAGGGGTTTATCAAAGCACATAAAAGGTGCTACTTTTAATGATTTTGTGTACTGCATGATAGCTTTGGAAATGTACTCTTGGTGTAACTAAGGTCTTATTTAAGGGTTGATTATATTTCATACCATTAATCCAAATCTGCAAAGTAAATAATAAATAAATGTAGTGAAGTACAAATATGATTAACCTCTAAACTGTATCGGAGTAGAAGTACAAAGTAGCAAGTAAAGTGCAGGTCTCTGAACATTGTTAAGTAAAGTACTTGAGTAAACGTACTTAGTTACTTTACATCACGGAACAGATATTGTTTGAATTGGGAGGCTTTAATTCATTGTATGGTAAATGACCAAAGACTAAATAAAGCTCGTTAGCGACACACAGAATAAATCCCACCTGTATAAACCAGAAAATATTGCTCAACTCGCCGTCGGGAAATGGTGGAGAGCTCCCGGTATGTTCCTCTCCATCCCCGGCAGTCGGGTGCTGGATGCTCCGCTTCGGGTGCCATGCCGTGTCGTAGCTGTCCAGCATCCAGGAGGTGATGCACGCCATGGCCAGCCCGAGAACCACCAGCGCGGCGAACAGCTTCAGCATCCTCCTGGAGAGAGGCCGTCTGTCCCGGGCAGAAAAACAGCTAGCTACTGGTGGGAAACAGCTACACGAATCACCAGGCTAACATTAACTACGGATACTGTGAGGCATTTAGCTACATAGCTACGATGTCAGACCGTCTCTGTCGCTGCCATCGCGGCCCCGGGAGATGCATGGAGGTGCGGGGGTTTCACCCACGGCTCTCCGCTCAGCTGGAGGAGGAGGAGGAGGAGGTGGAGGAGGAGGAGGAATAAGAAGAGAGGGTCTCATCCACATCTGTAACAAAGTGATTTTTAAATGCTGCAGGCAAT